CACTGACAACAAAACTGAAGGCAGAGAAAACATCACAAGCAAGAAGCAACTGAATGTGATGCTCTGCCAGGCCTGGCAAGTAACAGCATTTAGTGATGTCCATGAGCTGTAGATTTCAACTAGTCACTGACTGCAAATGATTTTCATAGTATTAAAGCATCGCCTATATTAAAAATGATTGTTTTGTCCAATCAAATTGAGCCTCTGAAAATCACACATCAGTTAAAGTCACATCAGTTAATACTACAGAAATGGTTAGATTGTGACTGACTTACAATCAACAGTGGTGTTGTACGGAGGCAACATTACGAGTTTTATTAAAATTTTTGATTGATAAAGTAAATGCTTTAATACTGGCTTGGCTTAGAGTCTGAACATAAAGGTTTAAATAATTACAAGGAAACAGGTTTTTAAATCAACATTTTATTCCTCCAACCATTGTAACAAAGTACAAAAACATTTAAAATCTAAAACAAAGCAAAACCTTAGTGATGAACATTGTCAAATCAAACCTGCTTCTCTTATGTGTTCGTTGAATATCAGGGAAAAAAAAAAAAAGTTCTTCCAATCATACACTTCAAAATGACAAGATTTGAATGGATATTGTCATAAATACCAGGAAACGAAGTATTTATACAGAAATGACATAATTTAAATGTATGTTCAAGGTTGAAGACAGGCTGAGCAGGCTTAAAAAAAATAAAAAGAGTTTAAGCCAAGTGTCCTCCGTACACAGCGGCTCTTGATGGAAACAAACAAAGCACAAAGTCCACTCAGCCTTATCTGTCTGGTCTCATCATGCCCGGCCTCACCGGCGGCATCATCATCGGTCGAGGATGACGCATCATGTTTGGTGGTCCTGGCATCATCTGCATGGGTCCTCCCATTGGTGGCCTCATGCCTCCTAGATGTAATGGTGATGGCATACACAGCTTTAGGTATTATTCATTACACCAGTTTACCCAAACGCCCACATCAATGCGCTGACAGACTTTTTCAAATAACCTCCTTGTCTTTTGTCTCATCGGGCCACCAAGGCACAGAAATGTGTGATTGCTTAAGATATTTAAATTTTGCCAAAACTGATTCAAAAGATATTGATTTTACAGTGATATAAAAGAAAAAGAAAGGCTGCCAATCAGGAAAGAGAATTCACACACAATAGAATAATAAATAAATATTCAAATAACCCTGTGTGGTCAACAGCTTCATCTGCATGTGTGGTCATTGCTTATGAACACACTCTTGTTTAACAAACTTTTCAAATGACTTGACTATGACCATGTTCAAATGTTTCTGTATCATGTTGAATAAATATCAATTAAAAATGGAACTAGGGCCAGGCCACACCTTCAGGTAATACCAAATTTTATCACAAGATGGCGCAACAAGTTTAATGACACCTTTACTTAACCGGCGAGGCATTTATAGCACATCCTTATTTACAATGCTGTAGTATTGGCAGTAAGATTTAAAAGAAACAGAAGTTAAAACAACAGCAACTGTTGGGGTTTAAAAAAAGAAAAGAAAAGAAAAAAATTAAGGAAAAATGTTTCTTACCAGGCCCACCGGGCATCATGCCATGTGGTGGAGGCCCCATCATAGGCATCATTGGAGGACCTCCCATTGGGGGTGTTGGTAGCATGCCTGGACGAGGAGGACCAGCTGCATTTGAGACAGAAAAATGCCAGTGCACAATTAATGTTAAGACTCTGTACAAGTGCACAGAAATTTACATGTCAAAATCCCATAGAGTGAATCACAGTATATGCAAAGAGCCTCATTTACAGTGATATTTGACCAACAAGAGAAAACAAATATCCAACAACAGACAAAGCTTATGCTCACTACAGCTCTAAGGGATCGTTTTATTGGTTGCAGTTTTATCATCACTATCTTTGACCTTGTTTTTTTTCTTTCTCCTTCTCTTTGATCAATAAATCTGCAAACTTGTCAGTTTTGTTGTTCCCCTTAATTCATTTTCACGCATGAGCTCAATGTTGGGAAATTTTAAAGAGTTTCCCTGTAGCACCACAGCAGGCGACCGTTCACTTAGATGCATTCTCACTCCTGGAAATCATAAAATAATTGAAGCGAGGTGCTTCCTGGTGGGGGGGGAAAATAGATTAGTCAACTTTTCTAAAAGACAACACTCAGCATACAGCCAAAATAGAGTACCAGCTAATGGATGAGGTTAAACATGTTAAAAATACTGGATGTGTATTTAAGCAGCATTTAATAACTAATAATTACATTATTCAGTATTAAATTCAGGGTTTTTAAATCTCACTGATAAGTGCAGTACTTTACACTGCATAACACCTAACAGTTTGCCTATGCTAATGTTAGTGCTAGCACCAGTAGCCATCTTTCCTTGCAGGCTAATCTGCACATAACTGTGCAGAATATGGTTACACACTGCCGTGTTGGAAGTAAACCAAACATGCAACTGTTTATTTCTAGGTTAAAGTACTGTAGAACCACACCCACCAGTATGTTCAACCATCATTTCTTTTACCTCCCACTTTGCTTGTTTTCAACCTACACTAACAGAGAAAGAGCTGCTG